TAATCTGTCAAACTTCAGCTTCGATTTCCTTAAAATGGTTGATTTATTACATTGGTCTATTTTAAAAGTGACGCGAGAATTCACTTTCCGTATTCTCAATAGTCAAAAAATAAACTCGTTTTCTCAAAACAGAACCTGGTTTATTTACATATCCTTCAGCCAGGGTAGCAAAATTTCGTCTGGCGTGCCATGATTAAAATCAGTGGCACAACTTACATGCAAGCTGATCTCCGAACAATTTCGAAGGAAAAAATCGTAATCGCTGAAATATTGACAACTATTGGAAACTATTGTTTTTTTTTCGTGCATTATAAGCATCTACGAAATTGTCCTATAGACCTTACAGACTCTATGCAAAATATGTTCAAATTAGTTATATAGTGACTTATAAGCGATCAAAGGGAAAATTTTTTGCACAAAAGTGCTTTGGGCCAGGTCCTGTGTTGAGAAAATGAGCTGATTTTCTGCACAGACACTATTGAGGCATACAGAAAGCGAATTAGGGATAAAGAGCAACAATTTGAGAACATTGCTGAAAAATGGGATAGTCTACTGGTAATGGAATATTCCGGGTTGGAAAATCTCTCGACTTGTTTATTTGTTTAATTATTTATTTGTATATTGAAAAAAATAACTGACAATTATTTGCTGAATGAATAAAACTTAAACTAAATAGTTACGGTCAACGGTAGGGAAAAGGCCAAATAACCGATGACGAAACACGTCAGCTGATACATTGAAGTCGAACATATAAAAGAAGTTGTTGAATTGCCGGCTGATTGCTCGAATTGGCTCGTGTTGTGTATAATTTAGGTACCGTGGTTCCAAAAACAGAAAGTCGCGTTGACGAAGAGGCCTCTCAGGGGCATACATATTTAGCTGAGACAGCAGTGTTGGACAGTCAATGTCATCAGCGAACATAGCTTGAGCGACCGTCCGTCTCACCTCTAATGGTTCGATTCCCAGGAGACGGCAACGCTTCACGAAACAAAGAGCATATCTCACAAATTTACGTTGATCGGATTCAATTCTAGTGATCCAGCTAGCATGGAAAGGGCAGCAAACAACTAAACTTGACTCCAATAAGGATCGCATAAGCGAGCAGTAGAGTGCCCTGAGGCATAGCGGGTCACGGAACTCGTCGGCAATTTTGAAAATAAAGCCCAATTGTCGATTAGCTCTAGACATGATGTAATTATAGTGGATTCTGAAAGTGAGTCTGATGTCCAAGGTAATGCCGAGATTCTTTATGTGCTCTATACGAGCAAGACAGCGTCCGTAGATAACATAGTCAAATATGATTGGTTCAATTTTTCGGTGATAGGAAATAATGTTACATTTTTCGATGCTTAGATTCATCAAATTTCTTGAGCACCAGTCAGTAAAAATACCTAACATATTCTGGAGATCCCAACAGTCCGAGAGACTTTTAATAATTTTGTAGATTTTCGTATCGTCTGCATAGAAAACGTGGCATCCTGATGGTATCAGAAAGGCGACATCGTTTAAAAAGATCGAAAACAGCGGCAGGGGAACTCACATTGCAGTGCCGAGAGATTGAATAGCCTCGCAAGTGGAAGACAGAGATTGGCTACACAACGTTTTAGAACTGATGACGGAATGCCGTCAGGTCCGGCGGCGAACGAGAGCTTCATAATGCAAAAATTCATAAATGGTACAGACTTCGAAAGCACTCAATTACCAAATATGGAAGTTCGAAAAAGTGGTGTAAATTTTTGTTAGTATGATGCACATAAATGGAGCGTCATATATCATACAAATTTACAATATTGATCGCGTAAATTTATGAGACATATCATGAAATATTGCATCAAACTATCTATCCTTGTAAGCAACATTTCTTGCAAGTTGATGGCTTACGTGAAAAGAAAGTTTACATGCATCACTAGTAAAATTCAGATTTTTTTCTGTGTAGTCACCTACAGAAAATCAGCAAAAAATGGTTGAAGGACAACCGAAAAAAGAGGTCTTTTGGGGGATTCCTGTAAGTATGCTGAAAATGTTTGACTATCCTTCGTGACATCAACCACTATACATAATGATTTCTTGCAATCAAACGTTTTGTTATCATTTTGAAATGATATCACGAAATTTTGTAAATAACTCAAATATTCATTTATCACACAATTTTAGCACACAAGTGCATTGAATTATCAAGGAGTGAAATTTTAATTTTGACAACAATTTTTTTTCGAAATGATCAATTCTAGCACTTGATTACAAGTCTCCTGCTATGCCTCGGTGCTATGTTTAAAATCTCGCATTTGCAGCCGACATTCTTATCATATTCTCCTTCAAGTCTTATCGAAGCTACAGCACCTAACAAAAGTGCACCATTATGTTATAATTTCTGCATCCATTCAGGACCAACGACACTTACGGCTACATTCGAACACATGCCACACATACATGCGCTGCCACCTCCACAAAACTCTAGTGCTTGCTTCTATAGCAACCACCCAATGCAATGAGGCGAGCGCGACGTGAATGTAATTTTAAAATTATTATTCTGCTGCTCTCCAGCGTGGAATAAAATAAAATATAATATGAAATGGCATACAATAGTTGCCAGTGCGAACAATAGAAAATGTTTCATAACAATTTTCAATACGAGGCATTGTTTTCTACCGATGCAGGCAGCCACCGCCGTCGTTGGTCGGCATCAAGGGATAAAGGATAGGAGAGGGTTGTGTTAAACAATACCCTTAAATGTACTCCCCAAACCACGCTCTTATAGGTTTCTCTGGCACTCGACATAGTGTACTGTATTCTCTGGTCTCGATGTCCCGTTGATGGCGGAAAACGTCAACGTTCGTACCCTACAAGCATGTGCACACTTTTGGCCCACTCCTGATTATTATTATTTAGAATGAGCCACTTCAACTGGCACGACTCAAAAACTTGGCATTTTGAATCAAGGATTGAAATGAATACATTTCGTACATTTTTTCTTCCATCCGCTTCTTCTCCGAGCAGAGGTTGCCCCACAATAAGAGGACACTTTTCCAAATTATGGTCTCGAGTTGAAAAGTTTGAGTGTCCTCAGAGAAACAGTTGCCTACCTAGTATCCATTTACCGACGATGTTGTACATCTGCGAGCAAATAAATTATAGGTGCGAACACTATGTGCTTGGGATTACTTTTTTTCCCCGATAAGCATGAAGTTTTACCGTGCATCAGGTGTTTGTACGTGTATATTGGTGAAAATTTGAACTATCAGGTAGCATCGCATATTCGATTTTCATGCTTTCTAAAATTTGCTACAATATGTTTTGACACATTTTTCAAAATGATGTTTGTCCTTCATAGTGTTAAATACCTATTCTGCTGTTTACAATTTCTTCACAATATTTTACATATTTCCAAATATTTCCAGAAATCATGTATAGGCATAATCAGCATTGTAACACCAATTAACACGATTGGATTTTTTTTTTATATTCAAAGTACACATTAAAAATTTCGCTCATTGAGTTGTTCGTTAATTAGATGAGCAATTATGCGTCAGAAAATTGAGGCATATCACCTTTGAAATTTAATGATTGATTCTTGGATAAGTGTGTGTGTGTGTGTGTGTGTGTGTGTGTGTGTGTGTGTGTGTGTGTGTGTGTGTGTGTGTGTGTGTTTACAAAGCAACTTCCACTGTCTGGCAGTGGCACTATGGATAAAATCTGCCTGCAATCATTTCTTATGAATGTAAGAAACTTGAACCCGGGAGTTTGAAGGTGACAGTTCTACCGTAGCTCCAATAGCCCATTTCAAGATCGCAAGCATTCCGAAGCTATTTTCACGCACGATGAGCCCCACTTCAATACAGTATCGATGCTAATATAAACCATTGGTAATGTACTGAAACTTTCAATCGAGAAGAAGTGCAATACTTGGATGACGTGTATTTAGCAAGTTTTAAAATCATTGTCTCATTTTGGATGGATAAAACATAAAGAGGAATAAAAAGGAAAATGAACATAGCTGTGGACGCGACGAGAAGGTAGGTATTTGATAACTTAGTGCACTTTTCAACACCACTTCAGAACTTTTAATTAAAACTTTTTAATTCCAAAATTAACATTTTCGCAAGAACGAAAACGACACAGCAAAACAAAAAAAAATTTCCGCATCGTTGCCTATTTCGATCTCTTCTTGGGTAACTGAGCTGTTTTACATGAAAAAAGTTCATGATTGAATGTTATGTTTAGTAATGAAACATCCTTTCGACTCAAAAGTGTTCAGATAATATCATCCCCAGCATACACATACACAGCATACACAACCCACATAAGTCCAATTTTCTCGAAATATTTTATTTAAATGTTTAAAAAATATTGTATTCTTATACTTTACAATAAGTCCAAGTAAAAAAAAGATATTCAAGGATTGTGGGCCCCTATTTTGGTTCAATTTGTTGGAAAAAGGAAGGTGAAGTGCAGAATGCGTTTTTATTAGTCATTCAATTGAGAGGATTTGAGGGAATGGATTCAGCCTGTTCAGGACACATCACTTTATACTGAATCACAAGCACATAGTGTTTACACCATGGTGGCACTTCGAATGCAATATTCCGGAGCAGAAATCTTCCACGTTAGTCCGAAATGCTTTTAATTACGTTTCATGTTTGCCAACTATCCAACTTCATTATTCGTCTGCTTGTTTGCCCCCGTATTCGCATAGCAGAGAACTTCGCACGAAAACCGATGCAAGTCAGCTCAAGAGTCGGGTCGGGTGAAAATTGATCTGTGTTTGCCTAGTTTCCCAGCCCTCCTTCAGTCAATCTCTTGCTTGGATGCTGCTGGTCGTAGTCGTCGTCGGCGGCACACAGTTGAAACGATGCTTATCGATTATTAAGTTGTATGCTCGTACTGCTGGAATATCTAGTTCCAAACATCGTGTACAGTTTTCCAGAGTGAATGAGCGGAGGATAAATTCTTTCGATTAAGGTCCGTGTGATTTTTGTTTCTTTGCTGTATATTGTATTTACCTGGCTGTCTAAAGTGTGAATGTGCATCTAATGAAGTTTTCCCGACGCTAACGCTGCTGAGAGCATTTGAACTGTAGCCTGGAAAGAACACCGAGAAAAAGAGAAAAGAGAAGGAAAAACGGAAAATCAATGCCCGTTTCATCATGGATTGTTTCAAATCATTTTCAGTTCAAGATCTTTATCAGATGCTGTAGATTTAGATGACAAAAAAAAACATTGCTTCAACTATTCCGTCACTTTGTACGTTGCTCGCTCTACATTCTCAATGGAAAATGCTACGTCAAAAATAACAAAAACAAAATCCACCCTCGCTCCTGTCCATGAATCAAATCATGCGTGCACAAATCTCGCAAAAGGATATTCATTGATACAAAAAAATGTTCTCCACACATTGCACACCACCAGTAAAATGCGTCCGCCCTAACACCGTGTACAGAATCAGAAAGGCGTGCTCGACGTTGGAAGCATACAAACCAACTCCCGACATTCGATATTTGTAAATTTGCCGGAATTTGTATAATAAAATATATCCAATGAAGGATAACAGTAGCTGGAAAAAACTTTCACGAAGCAGAAAAACGGCACCCAATACCGTGTGTTGTATAAGGTTCAATCCAGTTTCAAACGACAAAGGATGGAACAAATCGAAGCAAATCTATGCAAACACAATTCTTTTGATCTTTTTTTTACGGTTCAAATGAACTGGAATGTTGTACGGATTTTTTATGCGAGAAATACATGTTAATAAAAACATCAATGGGTGTTTCGTTTCAAACGTAAAACAAATAAACTCGCATTCATTGGCTGACTGTTTTATGTCATGTGATGAGGAACGTGGGATGTATGAGTAATTGGAAAGAAAAATAGAAAAAAATGTGTTGAAAAGATGATTTTTTCGATCGGTTTAGAGTGGGAAAATAAAGAGCAAGACCTACGCAGCACAGTGGCCGGAAAAGTGCTAGATCGCGGCATCACAAATCAAACGCCCCCGGGGATGCTTTATGCAGCAAGTCTTCTGCAAAGTTGATCGTTAGCATCTGAGCCTTAATTTAGTGTCATCAATTTTGTTCGGAATTCGGCCGCTAGGGTGGCGCTGTTGCTTACTTGCTTATATTTCAAATAATGCATTATAGAAGGATTGAACAAGACCTCAATACCTATCAAAAAAGGATTAGGGCGTAAAAGGTTGTGATCCACCATGCAAGCATTGACCCATCATATCGGCTATTTTATGAAATGTTTTTCATTTTGTGTACCGTACATGAGCTGTATGAGTATGGTGCTGCTGCAAATTTTGTGCTATGCAGGATTCAGCGGGAGTAATAAATTATATTCGTTTTTATTTTCCTTTTTTTCGAAAATTGCAAAATTGAAGCGCTATTTCTCCATGATTGCATATCTGAGTTGTTTCTATGTTGAAATTAATTTACTTTTACCGCACAGTGGAGTAAACATTATTAGAACCTAACCAAACTCATTTTTGTATTGTTATAATTTTAAAATCATCTGAGAAGTTCGAAAAACAATTGTGGAAGATAAGTGATCCCGTTATATACGAATATCTTACGCTACAGCCAGTGTTTGAAAAATTAATAACAAATCTCATTCATTGAGCTTTCCTGAGAGAATAAATTCGCGCTCGAATCTAGCAAACAAATCTCTCAATTGAGACAATTGCATGCACTCATACTCAATTGATAGCATGATTATGCATGTTGTGTTAATTTTCCATCATCTGATGCAAAAGCAACAACGCAATAACGCCAAAATATAAAGCAATGAATTTGAAAATTCATCGGTGATTTTTGCGTATTTTGGCAGGTAAAAATCATAGGCGAATAAACTTAGGGTAAACAGATATATTACGCCCCTTTAGGGACAAGCAGATATATTTTTACCGTTTTCACAGTAAGCAGCAGCAGTTTGTGGTAGTTAATATAGAAGAAAAGATTATTTTTCGTCTTCACTCAAATTCTGGGTTCTCCAATTAGGCAGAGCAATATACCCCTTCTATCAACTAATATGCTCACTAGGGTGCTTCATTCTGAAAAAAGTGATGAATTTCTGATGGGCCACCCTCCAGTTCGCTTCATAGCCCCAAAATATGAACCTGTGCAAAAATTGGTAAAGATTGATGAAGGTTTAGAGGTCGCGCCAATGATTTGAAATTTGTATGGGAATTACTATGGAAGAATTTAAAAAATCGCTTATATCGCTATAACTTTGCTTCTACTTGTCCAAATGTCGAAAAAATTTAGTATGTTATTGCTATGGCAATAAACAAAAAGCCTACAGTTGCTACGCTCAGTTTTGCAGCGTATCAAGAATTATAAAAATGTGAAAAAATGGCAAAATAGGGTAAATTGACAGATGAATATGTACAAGGCAACAACGCCAATTTCATCGCAACAACAACAGGCTTGTTGATCATTGTCATGACAACCACATATTTTTTTTTTCAACGTTTGGACAACTACAACCAAAGTTAGAGCAATGTAAACGAAAATCAATAATTTCCCATACTAATTCACCAAAATCTCCATACAAAATCCAAATCATTGGCGCGACCTCTAAACCTTCATCAATCTTTACCATTTTTTGCACAGGTTCATATTTTGGGGCTATGAATCGAACTGGAGGGTGGCCTATCAAAAATTCATCACTTTTTTCAAAATGAAACACCCTAATGCTCACACAACAAAGAGACTGTTTTCTCTATACTTAACGGATAGTATACCTCTCATCAAAGGTGTGAAATGCCCCAGAGTATTAATTTCATACAGCACAATGATGGAATAAACACTTTTGTGCTAACCAAAATGGCGTAAAAAGATTCTGCGACAATTGACAGCTGTGTCCTACCCTACGCATGAGATTTGAGTTTTTGATTTTTTTCGAACACTGCCTACAGTTTTAAAACTTAATAAATTGTAAAAAAAAACTATACATTTAAAACTATATTCAAAAACTGACATTTTTAGTTTTGAAATTTGTTTTCCTCTGTTCGGGACAAAAATCCACTGCGACCAGTTATTTGATCTAAAGTGATACACCCCGTGTCCTTAGCTAAGGGCCAGTAACGCACCACGAAAAGGTTATCTACCAAGCGTTATTGGGTAAGTAATTTTGTTAGCTAAATCATGTTTGTATCTCTTAGCGTTTTTATTTTAGATACTTTTTTACAATTGACTTAGCGAGCTGCTGAACAAAAAAGGTGTCTACAAAATTTCTCGTGGGATAATAAAGACATCATTTTTAGAGCTTTTTAATATGTAAATTTTGCCGAATAAAGTAAATCTGATTTATTTTAACAAGGAACCTTTTGAGCAAAATGAAATCTTACCAAAAATACCAAACGTCTAAATCTTAAGACAAATGCACTAGGACCTTTATCATGCTGATTTGCTGCATCCTGGAGTTCACAGAGTAATTTATCAGTCATAAGGTAAACTTATTTTCACAACCCTTGAAATAAATAATGATAACATTATTCTTCTATTAACACTTGAAACATAATTTGCAAGATAAACACTATGCTTCTAAATAAACCGCGTTTGATTCTTGTTCACTGATATCTTCACCCGTCGAATATCCTGGGCTCAGAAAAGGGCCTTCTGGGCAGTGCTGATAAAACTCATTTCTTCTACAATCATCTTCTTCTTCTTCGCATTTCAAGCTTATTGCGTATCGCATATTAGCTTATTGCGTGCTCTTAACTTAGTGTTCTAGATGCACTTCCACAGTTATTATTTGAGAGCTTAATTCGATGCCTGTACCATTTTTGCATTGGTATAATTGTGTGGCAAGCCCAATCATACTTCTATGCCCAGGGAAGTTGAGAAATTTTCCTACTCGGAGCGTTTGGTACGGTATGTAGATTCAAGAAATGTTCCCATTCATTTCCAAAAATCATCTTTGCGTCAAATACAACGCAGTAGGCCTGGCCGTATTGATGTTTATATCATATCTCAGATATGCTGTAAACATCAATTAGACAAGAAAAATGATTAGACCTCATCTAACCTTATTATTTTCCAGGATGCTTTCTCGTACTGGCTGCGTTTGTATTAGATTAGATTAGATTAGAAAATGAATTTGATTATTTTGCTCTTGAGGATCGCTTCCGATTTTTATAATTTGGTGGAGCGGCGTCGGAGATGTAGTGGTAACCGTGATTGCCTCTCCCCCCAAAAGGCCTGGATTCAATCCTAGTCCGCGATTTTCTGATGCATAAAATCTCCCTTCGCAAGGGAAGTAAAGTCGTTGGTCCCCGGTCTATGAGTTGATGGGTCGATACGTTGGGTCCAGTCGGCGTCGGTTGCATTGAACAAGATCGACGGAAAACAAATCGAGGAAAAAAAAGTCGAGTATTAGTCTGCACATTGTAGACGAAATACGCGTATCTGTCAAGGATAAGCAAATAAGATAATGAAATTAAATGGAAATTACTTCTGCAAAGTTGTATTGGAGTGTACATTGATAAAAAATGTGTATTTCGGTAAAACATTTGAAAAATAAATTAAAAAAAAAATCTCAAATCGTACATTTAGATTAACATCCGGAGTCCCTATTTTTCACATATTCTGATCAAAAATACTTTCTAAGCCTTGCCCCTAACAGGATTTCCCACCGTTCTTATGAAAAAAAAAGTATCTTCAGCGCAGAGTATGCAAAAAAGGATGTTAATCAAAATGTATATTTTGCAGTTTCAGGTACACAGCAAACAAAACATTTTAATATTACATCCAAGAGGATGCACTTCAATCATGTCGAAAATCTCATGTAATTTTTATAGCCACACAAATAAATAAATGCAGTAAAAGCAACATAATGTCAGCACATGCACTGTATTAATGATAATTTTGCCCTTTTTGGCAAGCAATATTACACCATATTTTCGACACGATTGAAGTGCATCCACTTTGATGTGATATTAAATTAATTTTTTGCTGTGTACCTACTCTATTTTGTAGTCTGTGAGAGGAAAATCACAAATTGAGTGTCATCAAAATACATGGCATGTACAGAGATTGAGCTCGTGAGAGAGAGAGAGAATAGTGTGTGATAGAGGGTCATTT